GGGGAGGCTGGTTCCCGTGGTGTGGAAGCAGAGGAGGATCTACAATGGGCAGCAGGAGGTCGAGTGCTGGTTTGCCAAAAACAACGCGGACAAACTGATCGATGGGAGCTACCAGGACTATTTGGCTTCTCATCCCTTCGACACAGGGACCAGCTTTGGGACAATCAACAGCTTTTAAAACTGGTCACAGCAATGCATTGCAGCAGCATGTGGGATAGCAGGTCCCTTCTGAAGCCTGTTCTAGGCAGCTTATGAGTGTTTCCTTATCTTTTGGTGCCAAAGAAACCAAGGATTTTGTCCTTGGAAATCAGTTGTTGCTCTCTCATGCTAAATGAACGCTCATCAAATTCCTGAAGAAAAAGAAGGCTGGGGGAAAGGACGTGGTTAAAGGCATGATTGATGCTCTCTCAGTGGGAAGGGAGGGAGAAATGACCCAGTGAACAGTGCAGAGGCTGCTGGCCTTAAAATAAACCCATGCAGGGATCTGTGCAAAGCCCCCTGGGGCTGGTGAGTCGCCCCATGAAAGGCAGATCATACAGAACAGTGCCTGTTGAGGTGGTAGGCTTTGCAAAGAAGTGACTTGGAGCACCTGCTCCAACCTTGGTCCATGGGGAAAGGAGAGAAAGACAAAAAGAGAGAGGAGAGGTGGGTGGATATTCATCTGCAATGACCCATTAGCATCAAACAAAATCAAAACCTTAAATCAACAGGTCACAGGAGGGTATTGCTTTCCTGGTTAGTGGGATGAGGTCTGGATTTGCCACTAAATATGACCTTCCCTGAATCACTACATACCCTTAAAACAGTGGTGAAAACCTCGATGGGGTTTTTTGCAGTCTTGGTGCACAGGCTGTGTGCTTAAAAAGCACCTCTGGTCCTCAGCAGCAACAGCAATGGTGCAGGCTCCCATTCCATGGAGCAGTTAATTCGGCATAATTCAATTTAAATAACATTGCAGGGTTGGTGATTTCTTGAGTCTTGATTCCCTCAGGAGGAAACAAAGTTCCACTGTGATCTGCCATGTCCTTGAGCATCACACCCCTCCTGCTCAGCAAAGGCTAAAACTTCCTAAGGGATGACAACTCAGCACCCACAACAGCTTGTGAGCCTACAAAGCAGCCTCCTGAATTTCTACTAGACGACTCTAGCTGCTTTTGTAATCAGGGAGGAAGTCTTTATTTATTCCACATTGTCAAAAAATTTTCATCCCAATTTCCCCTGGCTTCTTCTCCTTCCTTACCCTGCAGGAATTTGTGCGCAGCAGGAATTTGGCAGCAGGAGGTTACAGAAGGGTCTGCCAGCCACCCCCACTGCAGGTGGTGCTCCAAACCCAAAACTGCAAGGCTGTGCTGTGTTTTAAAGTGAGGCATCACTGAGCAATGCTGCAGATCAGCCACGGGGGAGTTTTAGCAAAGAGCTTGTCCAAAGGGGACTTGACAACCACAAAGACATTTTCATGGCAAGGCCAAACTGAGCTCATGAACACGCTGCCTTTCCAGAATTGAAAAGGAGGGAGGCTGGGTGTGGAAGCATCTCCAGGAATTAAATGACATCCATGTGTTAGGAGAAAACAGTTGCCAGGGACCCACAGAAATAGGTTCAATCTTGACTGATTTTTATTTTTTTTTTTCCATATTTAACAATTAAATCATATTGTTGCTGTTGGAGCTCCAGCTGCTGGGGGTGGGGTGGTGATTTTCCAGTTGCTTGATCAGCTCGTTAGTGCTGCGAGCACCGTGGCAGCAGAGCAGGTGGCAAGCATGGTTTCTTGACTCACACCATGTGCTGCCTGCAAACAGCCAAAAGCAACCAGCAAGACTGAACTGCACTCTGGAAGATCCTTACAGAGAGCTCAGCTAGCACAAAACTCCTGCCAAGGCTCGTACTTTGGAACAGAACATAAAGAAGAAACTACTGCTTTGGGCCCTGCTATCTTGAGAAATAGCTCTCCTGCGAGGGAGAGCTGAAGACAAGACCTTCAGCACAGTCCTGAGTGTGGAATAATAACACTAAATAATAGTAATAATAAGGTTTAATGCTCTGCAGTTTGCTTGTGGGCCAGGAAGAGATGAGGAAGAACAGCTGTGAAGCTGACTCCTCTGCCCAAGAAGAGGAGGAAATCACCCAGGACCACACCCAAACAACCTCCCGTTTCACTGGCATGGAGAAAACAGGAAAATGACAGGGGATCTCTGGACACCCCAGGGTTTGGCAGGTGTCTCCATGCTGTCCTTACTGAAACCTCCCCTCTCCTCCCACATTGTGCTGTCCACGTGTATTGCTAAGGGGAGGGATGGCTCAGGCTCTCCCTCCTCTCCTCTGTATATAGATATGTATATAATTTATATAAACACACACCTACTGCTGATAATTCATCATTGCTCCTCTTTTCTCCTCCTCCAGCCAAGGAAACACATTTCTTTCAGGGCCTGAAGGTAACAAGGATCAAGCCCGATGAAGCACCTGGAGCAATATACTCAAGGTCTCCTGAAGGCTCCAGTTATCCATTTCACAATAAATATTTTACAGTGAACACTGCAGTGAAGCTTTCATTTGGCAAAGATAAAAAACAAGCTTTGGAGCTAAGGTTGTGTGTGGTTTATGCTGCTGGACAGGCTCATGTTACCAGGTGACTGAAGGGGCCACTCACCAGTTAACAATAAGTTGGGAATAAGTAATTTCAGTGGAAAGTTAAAGGTCACTGATGTTGTTTAGTCTCTATACACTTGTTAGGAGGCAAGAACAGACCCATGGCTTCTACTCCCACATTGAAATGAGAGTTTAACCACAGACTTTAAATACAGTAGGACAGGACATGGGAAAACAGTTTGTGCTCCTGCTGCCCCAAGAGCAAAGACTATGGACTGTAAATTCCAATTTTTCTCAGCTCTGAAGTGGGCATCACAGCACTTCCCTCTCTCATATGGGGAGGAATATGAGAATATTGAGAATATTAGGGGGAATATGTTCAGGCTTGGTCCTCACAGCCCTTGATGCTGTCCCAGAGAGCTCCCAGACCTCTGTGCAGTCATTGCAGTCAAGTTGCATTTGTTCCCATCTCCAAGAGTGTCACAGAGCACTTGGATTCACAGGGATGTGCCCAGTGATTGCACATTGCTCAGACAGCTCAGGAATGAGGCTGAGCACTCACTCTGGAGTGCAATGGAAACAATTGCATGGATTGCATGGCACCATTTCAGAGATGGGAACAGGGCTGCTGGGGCAGCACTGGCTTCACAAGGATTGGGGGGGAGAACCTTCCCCCACATTTTACTTCTCCTGCTATTGCCAATTGTGAACCTTCTCAGCCTAAACTAAGAGCTGAAATGAAGATCATGTCCCTCACAGTCCAGTTTAGGACAAGGACATTGCATTGTCCAAATTTGCACTCTCCACCCACTGCAGCATTGCACTGTGCAGCCCCATAGCAAAAGCAAAACTCCAAAATACCAGTGTTGCTCAAACATGGGAGCAAGTTTTCAATAAGGAAGCTGTTTTCATCTATTTCCAGTCAAAACCTTGCATAGCACAGGAGTTATTCCACCCCTTACCAGTGCAGAACCCCCCAGACAAGCAGAAGTTGTGCTCTGAAACCAACTGCACTGAGCAATATAAATAATCCATTCAGAGAGCTGTGTGCCATGTGTTCCAAAAGCTTTTGATGTGCCAGCAGAAGTAGGATTTTGACCCTTCATTAAGGAAGAAAAACAAAAAAAAAAGACTTAATTTCCAGAAAAACAGTTTAAAGCTGCACAGCTGCAAGTGTAGCCAAGCGTGTCTCGCTCACTGAGGGGCATCCCAGACTTTGATTTGCATCTAAGGCTTCAAACCACTTTGAAGTCAGGAGAAAAACAACAAACCAAACCCCAGAAAAACCCCCCACCAAATATCTTCTCATGCTCCGAGCTCAGCCGTCACATCTAAATCCATCCAAGTTAGAAAATCCAAATCCCTTAATTTTCACTCCTTAACAAGGGCTGTTTTCTTGGGGAAAATACAAGGGAAAAAGGAAAAATAAAAGAACATTCCCACCCATCACTTAAGGGGAGTTGTGTTGCAAGAAGCAAAGGCTGTCTAAGGCTCCATGAGGGATCCTGGATCCCTGCTCCAAGGATTATCCCCCCATTTGGGCTCTGGCTGGGTCTCTGCACAGCTGTGTCTGCATCCAGCCTGGGAGTGGGCTGGTGCAGCTGCTCTGTGCTCCCTCTCTCCCCAGGACAGCTGCAAAGTGTTTTGCATTTTTGTGTTTATGGACAAATACAGAGGAAGGCAAACAGGGCAAGGCCCTGCACTGCACACTTGGAGCAGAAAGTGCCAGCCCTGGGGTGAGCCAGGGGCAGCAGCACCACCCCAGGTCCTTCCTTACCCCAAAACAGGGCTGGCTAATGGGGCTGCAGACACAGCTTGAATCAGATCCTGCAGACATTCCAGCTGTTTATTTTAAACTGAGTAAAAGGGGAGCTGTCAGCTTCCAGTAAACACTCCCTTGTAAGGTGCTGACTGGGATCTATCTCTGAGTCTGCTCTGGAGCCCAGCACAGGCTGCAGCATCAGAGCTTTACACTGAAGCAGCTCCTGCAACCCAAACCAACCTCTGTGGCTCAAGCTCTTCATCTTTAGGTTTACCAGACCAGCCCTGCTGCAGAAACACAATCTCACCTGTCAGAAAAGATCTCAATAGCTCCCTTTCTCCCCTTCCTCCCTTTCACAGCACTGGGGTTGTGCAGAGCATTAAGCACATGAAGGCATTTAATCTATGAAGCAATTTTAGCTCAAAGATTTATTGGATTCCTTATAAAACAGTAAAAAGAATCAGATCCACTGCGACAAGCTTCCCAATTCAAGACATTTAAATACATATTGCAAACCAATTCTTTTGAGCATTGTGCATATAAAAGTGTCACAGTTCAGGTACTACAGAATAGAGCTTTTTTTTTTCTTTCTTTTTCTATTAAAAAACCAGACAATATTTTCATTTCAGTCTCTAGCCCTGACAAAAGGAAAAAAGTCACACCCAGTTGTCCAGCCAGGGAAAATCCATCCCTGTATCCCCAACCTCAACGTGCCTGCGTGTGGGGGAAACAGGTAAAGCAGATACTGCTCAAGCCTGTCCAGGATGCACAGACAGCATCCACAATTGCAGGATAAATCCAAGATGAGGCAGGCAAAAGGATCTCTGCAGATCCACAAGGGACACCCATTTTTCCCCACCCTGCCCTTCCTTGGCCAGCTCAAGGATCACAGTGCTGCTCCTTCCTCCACTCCCTTGTCCTGCTGCTGTCAGATGACCACTTGGTAGCTGGGCTGCTTCATCTTCTGGCTGGTTCCCCAGAGCCCTGGAATGTCCTGGTCGCTTTCAGACTGATCAAAATCCATGTCTGGAGAGAGCAATACCTGAAAAGGAGAACAGACAGATGGAATCAAAGGCCTCAGAGCTTCTCAATTCTGCTTGCTGAATGAGTCAAACATTCCTACAGAGGGGTCTGCTGCCAGATACAATCCTCTCTGGTGTGGTGGTGTTTGCAGGGGTCCCAGGATGAGGGAAGAGACCAGAATGTTGACTCCATGTTTCAGAAGGCCGATTTATTATTTTATGATATATATTACATTAAAACTATACTAAAAGAATAGAAGAAAAGATTTCATCAGAAGGCTAGCTAAGAATAGAAAAAGAACGAATGATAACAAAAGCTTGTGTCTCAGACAGAGTCCGAGCCAGCTGACTGTGATTGGCCATTAATTAGAAACAACCCCATGAGACCAACCACAGATGCACCTGTTGCATTCCACAGCAGCAGATAACCATTGTTTACATTTTGCTCCTGAGGTCTCTCAGCTTCTCAGGAGGAAAAATCCCAAGGAAAGGATTTTTCATAAAATATCATGGCTACACTCCGGCACATGGGTAAGGCCTCAAAGTCATCTAGATCATCTCTCCAACAACAGCCAAAGAGATTTGGGCACAGGCACCACAACCATCTGGTGTCCCAGCCCCTTCATTGAGAGCAGAACAGGCAGCTGAAGGCTCTGATCCCATGGGACACAACTCACACATGGATGCCCAGGCCTGGCTGAGGCCTCAGTGGAGATGTACAAAAACGAGGCCACACATTTTGGGAACAGCTGTACCTCATGTAGACCTTTTCCCAGGCCCCCAGCACCTTGTCACCTCCACAGCTCAGCCAGAAGGGCAAGCAGGGCTGCAGGCTCAGCCATGGAGTCAGCTCAGGAGGGGTGGCCTAACCCGGCAGCCCCTCATTTCCACTTAGCACAGCTCCTGGGCGCCAAAGCACAGCACTGACACCTCTCACTGGTGTTTGAGGCCAAAATCCACATTTTTTATCTTGCTGGAAGACCCAAAGGATCCCTACACCCTCAACAGTTAACTCTACACCATGGGCTGCTCTGAACTGGCTGCCATCAGCCTGGAGCATTTGCAAGGTGCAGACAGAGCCACGTGTGGGCAGCCACATCCTCTGTTAGAGGAAAAAGGCTGGATTTTATCAAGGAGATGGCTGGCATTGGGTTTCAGCAGAAGAGGTGAAACACAATTCTAGCCAGCCAGCAATGTGCACGGATAATATTCATGGCTGGACAGGTTGGAATCACTGAATCCTCAAGGTTGGAAAAGACCTCCAGGCTGAGTCCCACCATTAACTCAGTACTGCCAGTCTCACCAGTAAACCTGAATGTCCCTGAGCACCACATCTACATGTTTCTTCAACACTTCTATGGGATGGTGATTCCACCATTTCTCTGGGCAGCCTGTGCCAGTGCCTGTCCACACTTTCAGTAAATAAATTTTCCTTAATATCCAATCTAACCCTCCTCTGGCACAACTTGGGGCTGTTCCCTTCTGTTCTTGTTACCTGGGAGAAGAGACCTGGCTACAACCTCCTTTCAGGCAGTTTTAGAGAGGAATAAGGTCACCCCTGAGCCTCCTTTTCTCCTGCATGCCCTCAGCTGCTCCTCATCAGACCAGGCTGTTTGCTGAACCCCATCCCATCCTCATCTCCTCAAACACCCACATTTCAGCAAGAGAAGCTGCACTGTCACCATGAAATCTCCCTGTGCCTGACTCAGCAGCCTTCCAGCTCCAAGACTCAAGTCCAGGGATGGATTTTCATGGACTTTGCTCACCCACAGACCGTTCCCAACAGAGCTCAGGATCCCTTGGGCAAAACCAGGAGCAGGGGGAATCACTCCTATCTGTATCTCCACACACAGCTGTGAATTAACAAGCCCTCCACTTGTCAGCACTCAGGCAGCACCACAGGGCCAGTCACCACAGCAACAAAAGCACCAAACAGGAAAAACAAAACTAACACAACTCCAGTGAGTCAGTGTGACTTCAAAGCAGCAGCGGAGCCGCAGGGGAAGATTTCTTACTCCCCACCCTCACGCACACCCCAGCCCCTCCATCCTCCTCCTCCTCACAGTCAGACACCCAAAGGACAGCAGCAGAGCGGATTAAGCTCTCTTGTTGTCCCCCTCATTGGTCTCAAGGAATTTTTGTTTGGTTCAGGACACACACTGGCACATTTCCATCTCTCTCACTCACGTGAAGATTTCCTCTGTTTATCACATTAATATTGTGATGCTGCTGGACCTGAAGAAATGTGTGTGTAATTACTCACAGGCAGCACTGTGAACTCACTGAGCTCTGACAGGCAGGTTGTGGGGCCTGTTGAATTGGTGATTTCAGCTGAAAACTCAAATCCCTTTGCAGCCAAGCAGGGATCTGTACTGGATCCAGTACAGGATTCTAGCCTGGTAGAAGTACTACCAGTACTAGATTCCAGCCTGGAACCATCCAGGCTGCCACCTGCCCACCACACACTGCACAGAATTCACAAAAGAGACCTTCAAGATCATCAAGTCCAAGCCATGCCCCAACACCTCAATTACAGGAAGCTACACCAGCAACAGTCCCCCAGAACCTTTCCACAATTCCCCAGGAAGCAGCACCATGAGAGAGCCCCTCATTGCCATGACAGACACAGGACACACCCTCAGGTATCATCTGCAAGCCCAGCTCCAGTTTGGGAGTTTTCAGAACAGCTTGGACAAGGCTCTGTCACTGTAGATGCCTCCAGGTCAGGATCACAGAGGGTTGGTGGCACAGCTGGGACCTGTGGCCATTCCTCAAGGCCCAGTGCCAAGAAAGAGCTGGAAAACAAGTCAGCCACTTCTGTATTTCCTCATAAACTTCCTTCTCTGCCCATGGTTTTCCATCCTGGGACAATGTGCTGCTGCCTCACTCAGCAGTCCTCAAACACCTCACATTCCACAGAGGGATTTGCCACCAGTCAAGAGGACTGTGAAGTGGAACAGTTTCCTTCTAGAAGCACCTCCATGTCCACCTCCATTTATCTTCCTGGCACCTGAGTTCACCATGAGTTTGAGCTAATTAAAAATAAAAAAAAAAATCAAAAATAAAATCTTTTCTCAGCAAAATCCAACTTGCTCTTGGACTTTTTAAGTGTTTCAATATAAGTAAGCAGCACTGTATCGGTGTCTATCAGCATCTTCATCTAATGAGTGCCAAAATACAGAGTTCCTTATGAAGGGAATTAGCACAGGTGCTGAACTCCATCCTGACCAAAGGCAGGCCCTCATGCAGTATATTAACTTTCCTTCCAGCCTCTGATTTCCCCTTAATTTTTCTCACAAGTACCACTGTTAGTGGACTTTTGCTTTAAGGATTGTCTCTAAAAATGTAATCCTTCAGGAAAGGAACAGAAACTCATCCACCTCCCTGGGGGAAAAAAAACACAACTGAAAAAAGATCAAATAAAACATTATTAAAACTGACTTGTTTTCCTGAGTGGAGGAAACAAAGAAATCATTGATAAGATCTAGAGTTCATGGGAGTTACAAGGGCAAGGGAAAAAAGCCTTGGGTGAAGGGCAGGACACATACAAAGCAAAAATAAGGGCCTTGCAGATGAAATAATTTCCCCAGGCTGAACAGCACTGGATGCAAACTGGCATTCAAGAGATCCTTTTCTATCAAACAAGAGGGGGAAAAAAATTACTCCATGAACATTTGCAAGGCAGGGCAGGCGACTGAAACAACACAAAGTTAAAGACTGATGTGGAAGGAAAGAAGGATGAAATTCTTCCAACCATAAGAGGGAGTTTGTCCCTTTCAGGGATTCACTGCAAAAGAAGTAGTAAAAGATCATCCTCTGGTTCACCAAAGGATGAGCCAGTTCCTGTGCCAGTGCCTGACCACCCTTTCAGTAAATAAATTTTCTTTAATATCTAATCTAAACCTCCTCTGATGCAACTTGGGGCCGTTCCCTTTAGTTCTCCTGGGAGAAGAGACTGATCCCCACCTGGCTACAATCCTCCTCCAGGAGGCTCCAATCCTTCTCCAGGAGGCTCCAATCCTTCTCCAGGAGGGTACAATCCTTCTCCAGGAGGGTCCAATCCTCCTCCAGGATTGCTGCTGCTGGGTTTCTTCTTGCTGCTCCACCAAGGAGCCAAGGACGGAGCTGAGCTCTCCTGCTGCCCTGGGGAAAGCACAGAGCGTGGGCCTCTAACAGGTTAACTCAGCCCACTCTATCTGTGCCCCTCCTTCTCCAAGCACAAGCTGCTGGTTCATGTGACAATACTGACACTGCCTTGGTGAGATAGGCAGAGGTTTGAAATTGAAGCCAGCAGTGAGTGGGAGCTGGTGGCGCCTGCAGCGAGACGGCCCCGATGAGCCCTGATAAACCTGGGGGACACACCAGCTCTGCTCAGCCCCTCTTCCTCCTGCCCTGGGCTGAAATTCCCCCACTTGAACAGGTGATTTAGCAGCAACAAGCCCAGCAAATGCTCATTTGCTGCTTCTGAGCCTAAATTCCAGTCAATGCAGCTGTAGGGCTCAGGCAGTCAAACACGATCTGTAGTTCACAGCTCAAGAGGCTGACACCTGAAGCAGGAGCTTAAGGCTATTCCTCAAGGCCCAGTGCCAAGAAAGAGTTGGAAAACAGGTCACCCACTTCTGTATTTCTTCCTAAACTTCCTTCTCTGCCCAAGATATTTGTTGGCCAGAGGCACAGGAACGTGTCTGAGCCTGAAGGAGGCAATCCCTGCAGAGTGCTGAGAGGAGAAACCAATCCCTTGGTACTGCAGGGATGGATCAGAGGGTTCAGCATGAACAGATGAGCTGCACATTGTTGAATGTTTGCTGAAGTCTGCAGCGAAAAGCAGTCAGGTCCTTGGAAGGTAAGAGAAACCTTTGACAGAAAGTGGCAGGTTGTGGGAATTGTTTCCACTGCTTGAAATCTCCTGCCTGTTGAGCTGCCAGAAGAGGATTTCTCAGTTACCCATTTCACAATAAATATTGTACAGTGAACACTGCAGTGAAGCTTTCATTCGGCAAAGATAAAAAACAAGCTTTGGAGCTAAGGCTGTGTGTGTTTTATGCTGCTGGACAGGCTCATGTTACCAGATGACTGAAAGGGCCACTCACCAGTTAACAACAAGTTGGGAATAAGTAATTTCAGTGGAAAATTAAAGGTCATTAATGTTCTTTAGTCTCTATACACTTGTTAGGAGGCAAGAACAAACCCTAGGCTTCTACACCCACATTGAAATGAGAGTTTAACCACAGACTTTAAATACAGTAGGACAAGACATGGGAAAACAGTTTGTGCTCCTGCTGCCCCAAGAGCAAAGGCAAGTCATGGACTGTAAATTCCAATTTTTTAATCTCTGAAGTGGGCATCACAGCACTTCCCTCTCTCACAAGGGGGGATATGTTGAGGCTTGATCCTCACAGCCCCTCATGCTGTCCCAGAGAGCTCCCAGACACCTGCAGTGTTCCAGTGGAGAGCACAAGAGCTGAGTTACTCCTTAGGAAAGAACTCAGAGAGCAACAGCTATTTCTGTTCACCCTGAATTCCTCAGCAGGAGCTCCTGCAGGAGCCAGGCTGGGATTGCCAGAAATTATCTTATCTTGGTGAGTCTCACCAGTGAGCTGCAGGATATCAGCAGATACACACAGAGCACACTGGAACCAGGCCTGGGTGCCAGGAGAAAGGAAGGGAATTCCTCCCAGGGACCAGGAGTGTGGACTCTGCCCAGAGGTGAGTGAGAAGCAGACACCACCCACCCAACAAACCACACATGATTAAGATGAACAAAGTCATCTCAAAGTCTGCTGGAACTGCAGCATTTCCTCCCCCACCATAACTTTCAACTGTCGGGCTCAGACTACACAAACACAGCCTCCTCCAGCTAAGGGACAATAATCTGGTTGAAAAAATACCAAAAATACAAAATACCAAATACCAAAATAGGATTCCCAGCTAAGCCTTCTCCTTTAAAAGGGATGCTAACAATTACAGAGAGGAAAGTAAGCTCTTCCCAGCCAAAATTAATTACAATTAAACACAGCAAAGCTCAGAGGGGCAGTTTTAGCCTGCACACACAGATCAGTGCAGAAGCCAGCTCATCCCCCCATCATTGTCATCATCCAGGGCAGTATTTCAGCAACATTGCAGTGTCTGTGACACTGCTCATGGTTAGAGTGAATTTGACTTTGCTGGGTGATCACCCACATCCATGAAACACCACCCCAGGCCCAGGCAATGTGATGTCCTGTTACAGGTTTGTGGTAAAACACACAGACCATCCCACAAATCTGCATCTTGGTCTGAAACACAAATTTGCATCCCTGGTCTCACCTGAGATTCCTCAGTCCTCCTGGCCCGAGGGGTTTCTGTGGATCCATTGATGTCTAGGGCATCCTTCTGCTTGTATTTCCTCATGATCAAGCTGTCCACAACCCAGAACATAATGGCCTTGGGGGGAAAGAAGTTACATCAGCAGATTGCAGAGACCAAAATGCAGAGTCAATCAATCACAGATCTCTCTTCTCCTCTTGGGTTCTCCAGACATCCAGCCTTGATCAACCTCACATCCAAACCAGCCCTGCATCAATTGTGTCCATGTGGATTGGATGAGTCCAATTCTTTAAGTCCCTTCTTACACAAGTCCTATTGTTTCCAGATTAAATAAGACTACAATAGGCTGAATTTCCACCAGAACATAACCCCTGAACCAAGCTCCATCCAAAGCTCATCTGCCTGAACCAGGAACCCCTGGTCAGTTCTCTGAGGACCAGAATTTTCTTTCCTATGTGGAAATGCAGCTTGGGATGGTGGAGAGAGGCAGATCAATCCAACTTTGCCAGTGCTGCATCCATTGGAATGTGCATGGGATGAGCTGAAAGCTCAAAGCTCAACTCCCTTTTTGTCCAGGGAGCATCTGAGTGTTAGCACCTTGTTCCCACTGCCCACCTCAGCAGGAACTGGGCAGCAGCTCAAGGATTACCCAGAATCAGGGGAACCAGGAAAGCAGAGCTGAGCTTTCAAGAGGGTTTTGTCAAACTAGTTTTGAGAAGAACAACAGTTCTGAATAACCCTGAGCACCTTGTATTGCTATAATACAATCTGACATCCAGCCAAATGACTGGACTGTCAGGGTTACAACCCATCCTATAGGACATTAAAGGGTTTTGGGCATCCTCATGCCATTGAGATGAGCTCTCACCTAACAGGACCCAGCTTTCCTCCAAGAAGTGAAGAGTCAGCCCCACAGCAGCTCAGAGAAAGGGAAGGGAATTGGGAACAGAGACTGTGGCAGTGACAGATTTGTGACCCACAGATTTCTTTGCACACCCCTGCACCCTGTCCCAGCACTTTGAGCCTGTCCCCAGCCACTCCCTGTGCCCTCCCATGAGGGTGCACTGAAATCTCCAAAACCACCCCCCCCAGCACCTGCAGAAGCACCTCTTACATTGACTATGAAAGGCACAACAAACATCACCAGGACCAGCTCCAGCTGAGGGCTTGGGATGTAACCCAGGAGGATCTGCTGAAGCTGCAGAGGACAAAACATTTAGAACAGTTTAACATTATTTATAACATTATTTAGAACACTTTAGCATTGTTTGAAGAGCTCTGTTGTAAGATCTTTGATGAAAACTGCTTGTCTTCTCACATGAGCAGCCAGAGCTCTGCAGCCTGTGCTTCAACCCAGCTCTTAAAGGATGACACAGGATATTCCCTCAGCCCAGCTGCCAAACATGTGACTTTGTACAGAAACAAGTATTTCAGTGTAACTATCCATGACAACAACTGGTAGGACTTCCCTTGGCTCCCTGGAGCTCATCTGCAGAACAAGGACACCAGCCATGAGCAGTAATCATGGAGAGGAGTCCAGCAGCTTCTCTGGATCTGGATTGGTGCTGCTGGACAAGTTCACATCCAAGTGTGAGCACTGGGGGCTACTGGGTTTGAAGGACAACCCTTGAAGAGATAAATGCTCCCAGACTGCTGGAGAAAACTCCTCAGTGAAATTACACACAGTGCCTGGCACCTCAGAGCCTGCTGGAAGAGGACTCCAAGCTCTTAGAATTAGGTTTTTACACCCATCACACCAACCTGCCAACAGGTAAGTGCCTAAAAGCCCCACAGGTTATTATCATTTTTATTTTTTAAAGATAAACTTCTGATCAACACAATTAACATTGCTGGCATACAGAAGCAGCTGAGCAGGAAAAGACAACACACTACTCATGTAGCACTTCTCAAATGAATCTCTAATCCCCCAGTTTAGGCACGGGATCACAAAACACCTACATGGACTGACTTGACAGAATAACATAGAAATCCTCTGGCAGAACTGAAGGAGCTCAGCTGCCAGCCCAGCCCCTTTTAGCCTTCCAAGAATGGGAAAGAAAATTAAAACATTATTCCATTAGCTTTTGACTAGCAAGAGAATGCACCAGAAGCCAAACAATTATAAAAGTCATGTTTCCCAAAATTTAAGTAATATCTAATGATTACAGAGTGCTGCCAATAAGTGTGAGGATTAAAGGCCTTCAATAATGGGAACCATGAATCAGGCAAAGCAAAAAGAAACCACAACAGCTACAGCTGGAAAAACATTGCTTACCTTTGTCCAACCAGGGATAAGCAGGACAAGGCTAATCACAGTCTTCTCAAAAACCATTATCAGCAAGTAGAGGATACACTGGCCAATCCAGGCAGCAGCTTGTGGAGGGTCACCTGGAAAAGCAGAATATTAAATCTGGGACAGAGGACAGGAGGAGACAGAAAAGTTGCCTCATGCTTGATACTGACCCTCTTCTCTATAAGGACCAGTCAGTACCTGCACACTCTTCTATAAAATAAAATAAACACAAATAAATAATTAAAATATAATCTGCAACGTGCTCCCTGCCAAGCCTTACCCACACAGCTACCAGAAACAGTTTGAAAATTTCAAGTCACCATTTTCACTACAACAGCATAACTTGTCAGTGCTGAACAGAATTATTTCATTGTGCTGATGAAGTGAAGGGCTGGTTATGTGATACTGTCTGAGCAAGAGACAGGGGCTCCATCACCCCATCTTTTAAAGCAACTCACTCAAAAAGAATCAATGCTAATTAAATATGAATGTTTCCAACGGGGCACTCACCAAGAAATAAGGAAAAGCATATTTGTATTGCTAACATACAATAATGGTTCTGTATCTATTACATGTGCTTACTGCAGCCCCTGCCAGCTGGTTATCACCTCCCCTGGCTCACCAGAATATCTCAGCTCTGCAAAACTGAGCTACCCTATCTGGCTCAGGAAAGCTGCAGCATTTCCTCTTACCACTTAAAGACAAAGATAACCCCTGGCAGCACTTGTTCCAGCATAATCTGCCTGGAATTTGGCATTCCATCCATGCAAGGCAGCCTGTGCAGTTGGCACTGAGATGCCAAAACTTGGTGTGGTCACACGGCAGCAGGCTGGGAGACTTTTGCCCGCTTTTCCCCACTTTTCAGCACAATTCTGAGATGTGGCAGGGGAAAACAGCACCACCAGTCTGCAAAGGCACATTAATCCACACCAGTAAAAACCTCTGGCCACAAAACCCAGCAACACATGCTGGGATTTGGTAAGAGCTGGTGCCCAACCAGCCCCAGCCCTGTGGGGATCAGCTTCCCAGCAAGTGCAAAATGGGATTTAGGTATATTTGTCCTTATTCTGCCATTTGTTAGCAACATACCAAAATACCTGTGTTGCAGACATCTTTTAGGAAAAATCTTTTCCATAAGATTTTTCCTCCTGAGAAGCTGAGAAGCCTCAGAGGAAAAGAAAAACAATAATTATCTGCTGCTGTGGAATGCAACAGGTGCATCTTTGATTGGCCCATGTTAAATGTTCTAATTAATGGCCAATTACAGCCCAGCTGGCTCAGACAGAGAGCTGAGCCACAAACCTTTGTTATCATTCTTTGCTATTCTGTTCTTAGCTAGCCTTCTGATGAGACCTTTTCTTCTATTCTTTTAGTATAGTTTTAATGTAATATATATCATAAAATAATAAATCAGCCTTCTGAAACATGGAGTCAGATCCTCATCTCTTCCCTCAACCTGAGACCCCTGTGAGCACTGTCACACACCTGCCTTGTTGCAAAGCTACAGCTACAAAGCAGAGGGATCCTGGTAGTGTCCAAGGCAGGATCCACTTGTGCCCCAAATTCTTAATTGCTCAAGCCATGAGAAGCAAGCAAACAAGAGGAGAGGGAAGGAGGGAAGCTGAGGGTGCAGGGGTGAGGAGAGCAAGCAGAGAGAGCCAAAGCAGCAGGAACTGCATGGAGGGAAGGCAGGAGCAGGAAGCCAGGAAGGTTATGTGGAAGCACACCCAGCAGAGCCTGTGGAGGTTTTGGAGACAGGAATCTCTGCTCTCTGGCAGACAGCAGCTTAATGGGTGGTCTGGGAGGAGATGGGAGCAGTGTTGGAGCAGCACAGGCTGGTGTCAGAAAGGCTCTGATCCTCCTAAAAGCCTCTCCCAAGAGATTGGGGTGCCTGGCTGCCTTTGCGCACACACTGGGTCTAGTGAACCTTTTTGCCCCAAAACAAAGCAATTCTCCCAGGAACCCCCACATTATCAGCACCCATCGGAGCTCTGAGCACAAACAAAACAGGAAAACAAACACATCTGTTGTGTCCTTTCTGCATTTGAACTCTTTCCCCTCTGCTGTGTGTTGTCAGCTGTGCTCTGTCCCCCGTGGAGGGACAGGGCTGAAGCCACAGCACCCTTTGTGAGTTGGCTCTCTGTGACAGTGACAGCATTTCCCTCTGTTCTCTCAGCTTGCACAAAAAGCAGCAGCAGGACTGAGATCTGTCCCAAACCCCTTCCCCCTTGCAGGGACAGGTCACTGCCATTCCCCACCACAGCCATGGCTCTGTGCTCTGCATTCTCTGCACAGCTCGGGGCAGGTTTGGGCTCACCAGGCCAAAGAAGAGAAAGGAGAAATTAATGTTCTCCTTCACTCCTGTGAGAAATGCGTGTATTTTATGATTGGCTTTTTGCAAATATTAAAATGAATGTTATATGTGTTGTGTTAGAAAGTTATGCTGTATTAATTAAGTAGTGTGGTAAATATAGTTTTAGGTTATAAAAAAGTGTTAAAATAGAAACTATGTTATGTAGAATACTTTTTTTAAAGAAAGGACTCACAGCGAGATAGCAGCCACAGGACACCTGAATCTTTCAGAGAAAGAGAATTTATTGCTCCATTATCAGAAGAAATGAACTTCTTTCTGCCTCGAAGGTGCTGTTGGGATTCAGAGGAAGAAGCTGACACTGACCAGACAGAATCCTGTGTTTGAATGGAGTTTATGCATCATGTATGAGGTGTATGAATATGCAACAGGTTATTTTTTAAAGGGTTAATCCTCTGTTAACATGGGTCCTTTTTCAGGCTCGTGCTGCCCAGAAAAGGTACCCAGACTGTCGGTAACTCTTTGTTTCTATTGTCCTATATTGTCCTAATTCAAATTATCTAAATTATTATTACTCTAATTGTATTACTATTTTATCAAACTTTTAAAATTTTAAAAACAAGTGATTGGCGTATTTCACAACTCCAAAGGATGCACCCACTGAATTCTGACTGCTCTCCTCCAGCAGCATTCCCAGTGCTCCCACCACCAGCAAAACTTCCTTGGAGCAGCCCAAGAACCCCTGGAGCCCCTCACAGAAATGTGTCTCAGACCCCAGTGGCGCTGGGGAGCAGAGCAGCAGTGCCTGAGGTATCGGAGCTGTGAGCACACAACAGGATTAGTTTTAATCCAGGCTGCCTAATGCACCAAGCTGTCAGCACAGCCCACGTGTTGCTGCCAGACAGCTTTATTTACACTCTTCTGGGGACTGGTGTGCACAGAGCAGGTAGGAAAAAAGCTCAATCACAGCCAAAGTGGCAGGTTCAGGGGTTTGAGGAGAGGCAAGTGTTTGAAAGCAGTGGAAGTTGTACTGGGTGACAGGGTGGGGGTAGAAAAAGTCAATAAAATCTTCTTAGGAGACACACAAATGGTACCTCCAAAACCAAGTGATCCAATTATCAGTGCCAAGTACAAAGGGTAGCGTTGCAGACATCTTTTCATGAAAAATCCTTTCCTTAGGATTTTACCTCCTGAGAGGCCTCAGGAACAAAATGTAAACAATGGTTATCTGCTGCTGTGGAATGCAACAGGTGCATCTGTGATTGGTCTCATGTTGGTTGTTTCTAATTAATGGCCAATCACAGTCAGCTGGCTCGGACAGAGAGCTGAGCCACAAACCTTTGTTATCATTCCTTTCTATTCTTAGCTTAGCTAGTCTTCTGATGAAGCCTTTTCTTCTATTCTTTTTGTATAGTTTTAATATAATATATATCATTAAATAATAAATCAAGCCTTCTGAAACATGGAGTCAGATCCTTGTCTCTTCCCCAATTCAAGAACCCCTGTGAACACACTCACACGGTAGGAAACAGCAGTAAACTCTGAATTGTGTGAAATGTTCACCTGGAGGGCAAACTCAGGTTTTTAGAGATGGGAATGTGATGAATCAGAGCAGCCAGGTGAGTCCAGTGGACACCCCAGGCCCTCTCTGGCATTTTCTGCACCTGAACTAAAATGATTGAACCATAGAATGGTGTGGGTTGTGTCAGAACCCAGGAAATTCCTCTGGCTGTCCTGGATGGCTCAAGCCCCTGCCCAGGGGGCTTAGAGACCTTGGCACAGAGCCCAAGAACCCTGTGCCTTTGATTTAACCCTTGGAAAAAAAAATACCAACCTTTATATGAAGAATTACAAGCCACAAAGGTTTAAGTGGAATAATAGTGAATTTACCGCAGGGTGAAAAATAGATTTTTTTTGGGTTTTCAGAATGGGGGTTCGGGGGACAAGTTGCAGGAATCTGGGCATGTCCAGCCTTTCTCCTTCTTCTTCCTGGCCTCCATCTTCTGCTGTGATGTTGGCACTTTTGGATTGGTTTAGAGTAGAAGCTCAGTGTCTAACATAGGTGATAGGTATTGGGAAGTAATTGAAAATAATGTACACGTAGTTTTTAGTATAAAAAGATAACACTGCCCTGAGGGTGGTCATTGCGCCTCTGACTGTCCTGCTGAGCGGACCTTAGCTGGACAGGAAAAAGAATTTTATAGATAAGAAACAATAAACAGCCTTGAGACTGAGAACTGAAGAGCTCTGACTCCTTCTTTGACTGCTGGGCTGGGAAAAGAGACTTTCTAACACATCTCAGGGTCACTGTGACCAGCGAGAGTCCTGAGAGGTTGGAAGGGACCCCATGAGCAGGGACACCTCCCACTACACCAGGCTGTTCAAAACCCATCCAACCTGGCCTTGAACACTTCCAGGGATGGGGCATTCCCAGCTCCCCTGTCACATTGCTGAAGCAGAGAAAAGTGAGTGTCCAGTTGGAATCTGTCCCCAGTGTGCAGTGTCACACCCCTGCTCTGGATCTTTGGTCCCTGTGCATATTCAAACTGCAGGGAGCAGAGTTGCTGTCATCCAAATTCAGAGCAGAAGATGGAGACCAAGAAGAAGAAAGAGAAAGGCTGGACATGCCCAGATTCCTCCAGCTTACCCTCTAAACCTCCATTCTAAAAAGCCCAAAAATCTATTTTTCACTTGGTGATAAATTCACTATTATTCTACTTTAAGTTTTGTGGCTTGTAATTCTTCATATAAGGTTGGTAATTGTTTTTTCCAAGGGCTAAATCA